TTTTTTTTTTTTTTTTGCAGCTGCCTGCAAAGTGTCAAGTACCTGTAACCCTGACTTAGAGGGCACTAAGCATGTTGACAGTGACCTTACCTGCACAGGAATGTAAGGCTGCTGAGCCTCTGAAGAACCGGTTTGTGTCAATGATCCATTAGCACATGCCACACATTTAAAATTCCTAARTGGTCTTGAGTCCTCAAACATTGCCCCAAACTGAAATCAGAACCTGAGGGGAGATTTTATCCTGGCCATTGGCACAGAAAATACTGATAATGCCTGAAGYCAAGTGCTTGTGTCCTAATAACCTTTCCTATTTGTAAAGTAGGTTCCTATCTACCTTTTTGTCACAGCCCAGAAAAATACACAAGAGTGAGGCTGTTTACCTTGGTATTCTTTCCCTTTGACTCGATATTTTACCATTTGCTTTGACTCAGTATTGTACCATGATGGACAGATCTTTGCAGAAAGGAATGTCCCATTGTTTTAAAGGAGACCTAATACAGCATTTAAAATAAGTATTTGCGTAGGCAATGGAAAGCTATTGATTAATTAAAATTGCTTAAAGCAAGGAATTGTAATAGTCTGTATATACATACATATATATATATATACATATATATATATATATATGTATCTAAAAAATTTCCAACAATACACAGCTTATAGGCTATAGTTCTCCCATTGTCTTTAAAAATACTCTTGCTACTGTTACTCAGTCTCTTCCTCAATAAATGAAAGGCAAATATTTGTGGCCAAACCCCGCTTCTCATTTCTTTCTCAGCAGTGGCTGTCTCCACTATAAACACAAATTTATCACTGACAAATCAAGTCACTTGCACATATTCATGTCAGAAAGCTCATGGTGTATTTGAGTTTTGTTGAAAATCCTACTTGTTTATTCTGCTAATGGCAAGGCAGCAAACTAAATTCCGTGGGTCAGAGGAAAGGATGAAGCACTGTGCACTGCAGGACATTTATGCAAAGCAGCAGTGCCTGAGCTGTTTCCCAGTGTATTTCACAATAGATAATATTTTACGCTGTAAATCAACAGAAGAGATCATCAAACAAGTACAAGTGACTTTTTTTTTTCAAGTTTAGATCAAGATATGAAATTATAAGCTGATCCTCTAAAATTCATAAAAATKAACAGCATGGTTTCCTTTGCCACTTGTTCCTTCCAGAAATCCACTTGAAAACAGTTCTCCATTGTTATGATTTCACAGTCATGAAAAAGCTGTGTCTCCAGAATATCCATCCACCAGAAATACAGGGGCAGATTTTTGCTCTCCACTTTCCTAACTCTTCAATGAGAGCTGCTTGCAGCCTTGCATCAGCCCAGCAGTCTGGGAGTCAAGGGGAGATGGACAAACAAAGGGAAATCTCCCTCAAGCTGACAGCAAGAGGACAAGAGMGACTCAAAACGTTTTTCCATTTAAAACCTGCTTAATGAAAGGAGGTGTCCCAGCCTGACATGAAAAACAATGATACTGAGATCACGTTCCCTCTGAGAGGTCTGACAAACTGGGAACAGCAAGAGAGGAAAGTGCAGGCTAAAAAAAAGTGTAGAATATATTCAGAGTGGGAAATAAATGAAGAAGGAAGACACTCCAATAAATGGAATGGAAAGAGAAGAGGAAAACAATAATCATCATAATTACAATAATWTTCCTTGAAATACATGGCATGATTCTGGACTGATATTAATCAGCCAAGCTTCATCAATACCAGTTAGACTGTGCCTGATTACACTAATTACTGGTGTGGCTGATTATGGGCAATGCAAAAGGCAAACCTTAATGAACAGACATGAAAACAGAGGTTTTTGGCTGTATCAAAGATCTGAGTTTAAAAATCATTCCCTGAATTTTGATGAGCTTTTCTTTCTCCAGTGAACGCTGCAGCTGTTGTCAGTAACATGAGCCTCAAAGAGAGCTGAGACCATCTACCCCTGAGCCACATCACAAATTGAACTACAAAAAAAACACCCGAATTTTCCACATCATAAAAAAACCAACTGCACTGGGCACCCACTTCTACTCTGACATGAGTTTTGAGAGGTTTCTCTCAGTAATCCCCACCCCTGATGTGTCTGACACTGCTGGAGACCCTCTAAAATTTTTTTCTCCATGTTTTACCTGTCACCTTAATGGCAGCTAATTATTTTTGGTCTCTTATCTGAGTTGAACCTGATGTATACAAATAACCTTACAAAGAAAAAAGAGAGCAAAAAGGTTCACAGACTGTTTGAAATCTGTCTGTTTGAGAAAACGCTGATGCTCAGCAGAGCACCTGAGATGGTGGCAGGTCAGCAGTCAGGACTGACAGCCACGTTCCCACGCTCTGTGCCTGCTGAAACTCAGAGCTCCCACCACGGCCACTAACCTTTCTGTGCTCTGTTCACTCATCTGTCAAATGGGGGTAATTGTTTTCCAGCTCATAATATCTCTGTGGAACTTCATAAAATTCAATCAGCATCAAAGAACAAAAAGACAGATACAAATGCTCACACTTGAGGGCAAAGTTTTTGTACAGCCCCAGCTCAGTCAATCTTTYGGGAACAGTGTGAGCTTGCTTGAACAAAAACTGAACAGGGGAAAGGAAGCAGGTGGAGGCACACCCTCGTAACTTACATATCATCTTAAAAGTCTGTGAAAAAGCTTTGGATGAGTAGGTCAACAAAAGGTTAYGAATGACTCAGGCGCTACGACCAAGAGGAAGAAGGAAATTGTGCCTGACGCCTGTTGTGCCACAGTTGTGCAACATCATCTTCCCAAGCTCACAGTCACGAAGCTACAGCCAGGAAAACTATGGGAGGCAAGCTTGCTCTTTTGACCAGATTATCTCTCTCTGTTAGAATCTGTAGATCATTACATGATTTTTTGGCTATTGCATTACTGGAGGCTACTGTTGTCAGCAAGGGTTAGTTTTCCAAAAAGACAGCCATCATACAACACCATGAAAATGAGTATTGCAAACTTATGCTCTGGAGGCACTTAATGCATCCACACTTTGAAAACAAGTGTTTCATCAGAGAAGAAAAGATAATAAGAAACATTGATCAGCCTCACGCCACATCAGATGCATGTGGCTGACATTAATCATGTGAGAAAGCCACACTGAAGTCTGAAKTGCCTTTTTACGACAGTAACTTAGATCTCTTTCCAAAGAAACGTAYCATATCTTGATAGCAAGAGGCTGAAAAAAATCCCATTGGTGCCCATAGCTGTTTAATGTACCCAAGTTTGACCCAGACATTTAAATATTTTCCTAACACCAAGAGCAATAAAAAAAAACCCATGAATAATCTTTTGGTTGTGCAATCTGTGTGTACTTTGACCGAAGGTTTTTGTACTGCAAGCAGTAGGTGGCATGCTTAATAAATGAATATTAATCTCACAAATATGCTCTCATGGTGTTTTACTGCTGTCTTTAAAC